GCTGGTTTTGATTTCCTTACAGCTCTCCCTTCCCTCATGGCTCGTCGGTCCCAAAGCTCCTCGCAGGGGGACAATCCCCTTGACCCCAACTACCTTCCACCCCACTACAAGGAGTATTACCGCTTGGCGCTGGACGTGCTCACGGAGGAGGGCAAGGAGAGTTACCAGCGCTTCCTGGCAGAGGAGGCAGCCCCCGATTTCCTCTGTGGCTCTGAGGTGGATCACATCATCCAGAACCTCCAGAAGCCCCAGTATGCCAATCAGGAGAGCAGCACAGACACCACCGGGGACAATGACATGGATGGATCCTCTGGGACTTACTGGCCCATGAACTCAGACCTTGCCGTTCCTGAGCTTGACCTGGGCTGGCCAATGGTCTTTGGGTTCAGGGGAACGGAGGTGACAACCCTGGTGCAGCCACCTCCCCCAGACAACCCCAGCATTAAGGAGGAGGCTCGCAGGATGATTCGAGCAGCTCAGCAGGTGAGACAGGGAGAGCCCAGCTAGAGCAGAGGTAAAATCACGCATGTGCCGGAGAAGCAACAGAACAGAGAATCAAGGAATGGTTTGGGTAGGAACGGACCTTAAAGCTCATCCCGTTTCACCCCCTGCCATGGGCAGGGACACCTTCCATGTTGCTCCAAGTCCCATCCAACCTGGCCTTGAACACTTCTGGTGGTGGAGCAGCCTGTCTGGGCAACCTGTGCCAGGAACTCACCATGCTCACAGGGAAGGATTTCTTCCCAATATCCCACCTAATCCTGCCCTCTGACAGAGGGAATCCATTCCCTCTTGTCCTGTCATTCCAGGCCCATGTCCAAAGTCCCTCTCCAGCTCTCCTGGAGTCCCTTTAGGCACTAGAAGGGGCTCCAAGGTCTCCCTGGAGCCTTCTCCAGGCTGAACATCAGGTCCTCTGCCAGTTTCTTTAACTTTGCTCCCAGGACCTGACAGAGGGGCAGGATGATTCCAGCCCCACCACTGACTGCACCAAAGCCTGGCTCTGCTCTGCTCTGCTCTCACAGCACAGTGTGCAAGGCCACACTAAAATACACCAAGAGTTCACAGAATCCCACAACAGCTGAGGTTGGATGAGGCCTCTGGGGCTGGTCGAGTCCAGCTGCCCTGCTCAGAGGAGGTCAATTACAGAGGGTTAATCAGGATATCTCCTTGAGCATCGCCAAGGATGCTCCCTCCTTGAGCATCTTCAAGGGAACAGGACAGCCTGCACCCACGTTCAACCCCCTCTTACAGTCCCAGAGACTTCCCTCATGTTTAATTGGAATTTCACATTCACTTTGCATCTCATCCTCTCCCTGGGCACGACTGAAAAGAGTTTGGCTCCCTTCTTCCTTATGCCCTTTCCATCAAGTATTTATACTCACAGATAGGAGTTGGGAAGGACAGGGAAGCAGACCTGTGAAGCTGCTTCCCATATTATCAGCACATGGATGTAGTTGGATAGTGGCTGCCTGAATGTTGGCCAGGAAGTTCCCTAAAAATGGCAAGAGGGTTTTGAAGGGGGGAAGCAGCTCCTTACACCACCCACTGTGGTTACAGGGCCAAAAAAATTCATGGAATCATTGGATTGATTAGTCAGGGAACGCTCAGGGGAAGTGAAGTTTTCCTTCACCCTCATACACAGAACATGAACCTTCCTGGACAGAAATTTTGTCTCCAGTTCTCAGGCCCACAGTGGTTAAAGGAACCTTTAATTGGGATGTTTCCTGTTCCAAAAGGAAGCTGGAATGAAAATTCTAGTTTCCAAAGGGAGATGGAAACAGTGCAGCTTTGGGGTGTGAGGTGCTGGGGAACGTGGTCAGTCAGGGCATGAGACGGCACAGGTGGCTGACGTGTGCCTGCATCTCCTCCCCAGGTGGTGGCCATCGTGATGGACGTTTTCACGGACGTGGATCTGCTGTTTGAGGTGCTGGATGCTGCTTCTCGACGAGTGCCCGTCTACATCTTGCTGGATGAAATGAACTCCCAGCTTTTCCTTGATACAGCTGCCAAGTGCAGAGTCAACCTAAACTACGTGGAGGTGAGCGAAGACCTGCCCTGCTTGAGTCGTGGCCTGAGGCATGTGTGTCCTGGGACACAGAAGGCTAGTGTGGCAGGAAACACCTGAGAAAGGGGAAGACAGGCCAGAGCCTGGGAAAAGATGAGTGTGAAGAAAGAGGGGAGAGCTGGCACGACAAAGGGTAAAGGCTGAGGACATACCGATAAAGGTTTGTCCATCTGTGTGTCCGCAGGCAGAATCACTAGAGCTGCAGGATAATCCCGGGGGCAGGATGGAAGTTAAAGGAGAGGGGGAAGGAGGAGGGGCAGGGGAGGAATGAGGGTCCCACCTGAGTCAGTGCCTTTCTGGTTTGCAGTTCCTGAGGGTGAGGACAGTGTCTGGCCCAACCTACTACTGCCGCACGGGGATGTCCTTCAAAGGGCACCTGAAGGAGAAGTTCCTGCTGGTGGACTGCATGGTGGTACTCAGCGGCAACTACAGGTGAGGAGCCCTGTCATGGTACCTGTCCTTTGGTGAGACACTCAGGTGCTCTGTGCAAGGGGTTGGCTACAGAGGTGCCCAGCTCCCATCTGAGCCGTGTAAATTCCAGGGAGAATTTGCTGTGGTGTGTGGAGTGTAAGATTTGCATCTTAGTCTGGACCAAATGATCTTTGACCTCCGCTCCTGGAATCATCAAATCATAGAAGGTTTGTGTGAGAAGGGACCTTAGAGCTCATCTTGTCCCACCCCCTCCTGTGTACAGGGACACCTTCCACTACACCAGGTTGCTCCAAGCCCCGTCCTACCTGACCTGGAACACTTCCAGAGATAGGGCAGCCACGACTACTCTGGGCAACAGAGAGGTGGATGGTTTTAGTGAGGGTGGAGATCACCCATTAACACGTTACCATCCTTTTGGAACAACAGTCACTCCAGCTAAGGCATCCGTTTTTGGCGGAATAAATGTTTTTAGCGAGTTCCAATATGAGAATTTCTCCTTCAAGTATTAAGGGGTGATGGGATAAACACCTGTCATGCTCTAAGCATGTAATCACAGAATGACAGAGTGGTTTGGGTTGAAGGGACCTTAAAGTTCATCTGCTTTCACTCCCTGCTCTTGGCAGGGAGACCTTCCACGAGACCAGGATGCTCAAAGCCTGCCATGAGTTAACTTCTCATGGTGGAAGATAAGCAAATAGAATTAAAGGTATTTTAAAAAACGGTATATGAAGATAAACACCCACAATATAGGCATCTGAATAAAGTGCACATTCTTTGTAACAAGATTACACTTTGGCTTTTTTCCTGATGTTTGGAAGGAATTATTGTCAAACTTCATGCTGTACCAAACAACTAACTGTTCCAATTAGATAATTTTTTGCTTATGAGAGCATCAAGTTAATTGTTCAAGACTACTCCTGCCACACTCTCATGTGCTTTGGGTTTTCAAATATTGTATCATTTTTGGAGTAGGAAGTTGTGGAAGTGTTCAAATACAGGTTGGATGGGGCTTGGAGCAGCCTGGGCTAGTGGAAGGTGTCCCTGCCCACGGCAGGATAGTGGAACAAGGTGGTCTCAATGGTCCCTTCCAGCCCAAACCAGTCTGGGATTCCATGAGAGAAGCTGGTGAGTTGGTGAAGCAGCATTTTGGCAATTCCACATGGATATCAGGGACAAAAGTTTTCCCTCGCTGAAGGATATTGAGCAGCAATTTTTCAGGAAAAGTACATCATACTGCAATGGAGGTCAATACACCCATTAAAGAAGTCCTCGAGCCCAGACACCCCAAGCCAGTCTTCCTTCACATCAAGAATTAAAAAAAAAAAAAACTGTAAAAAAAAAAGACAGTAATTTTAAGGGTTTTGGTTAACCCCAGCAGGCAGCTAAGCCCCACACAGGTAGGTGTCCCTCAGGCCTCCTAGCAGGATATGGTAGAGAATCTGAAACATGAGAACGCTCCTGGGTTGTGATACAGTTTAACACCTGCAGCAAACTTGCACGCACAGGCAAAACAGAGTAAGGCATCTCTTTCCTGCTTCCCACCGGTTGGCGGATATCCAGCCATTCCCAGAAAAGAAGAGCTTGACTTGGGAAGACAAAGGCTGTAGCACTGAACATCTTCCTCCCTCCGTTCTGAGCCCAGCTCCTTCTGTCCAGTCCCCCTTAGCCTGTGTGGGTGGAAGGGTTGTGCCACCCCAGGGGCAAGATCCTGCATTTGCCTCTGCTCAGTTTCCTGAGGTTCCTGTTGGCACATCTCCTCAGCCTTTGGGGTCCCCCTGACTGGTGTCACCTGCCAAGTGCAGAGGGCAGAACGCTGACTGTTGTCCCAGTCATTACCCACAGTGTTAAAGACAGAAACATCTACTTCACATAACAATAATCATCACCTCGTTCTCTGGCTGTGGACACTACTGACTGGTTTTTTGGAGCAGAAATAATTTGTTGCCTTGTAAAATCCTCTGCAAAGATGTGACCCCAAATCAATACGTGACCGTGAGGTTTGGGAACGATCACGTCTAACAAGTGGCTGCAGGGGAATTTTCTGTCACTATTTTGCCATATTTCTGCCTGAGCAGAAAATTCAGGACAATTTCCTTCAGGCAAGCGAATGCTTTAATGAAAAGGGGTACAGCTGAGTTACTCAATGCTAATACCCTCCATCACTTCTGTTCTCTCCGTAGTTTCATGTGGTCCTTTGAGAAGATCCACAGGAGCATCGCACACATCTTCCAGGGCGAGCTGGTGGCCAGCTTCGATGAGGAATTCCGCATTTTGTTTGCGCAGTCGGAGCCTCTCGTTCCTCCAGCCAATGTGCTGGCAAAGGCAGAGAACGCCTTCGCCATGGCTCCCTTCGGCAATAACATGCCTTTCTTTCCCAAAAAAGGCCCCCTGATGTTCCAGAGGGATGACAGTCTCTTCCCTTCCTTCATGGACAGAGTGGATCCGGACAGGTACTTCCTCTCCAATTTTCGGCGGGATGACATGCTGCGGCACACCGTGGAAGGGTCAGCCATGCGGATGTATAAAAAGGTGGAAATGGAGAATTCCCAGATGGATCCGGTCAGGGGCTTCCTCCGTTCCAAGCAGCTAGAGCTGGATGCCTTTAAGAGACACAGTTTTGCGGAGGGAACATTTGAAAATTTTGCTTCTTCCAAGCAGTACGCCCGGCAGATGTTCATGAACAACATGGATGAGTTCAAAATCCAATCCAGTCATTTCCAGAAGGACCAGTTCTACCAGTACCAGTTTGAACATCCCCATCTCTCTGGCAGACCTCAGGGATTCTTTGAGAGGATTCGAGGGGGAAGGCCGGGATTCAATGAACTGGAAGACTACGGAGAGGGACCCCGATACCCTGAACTGGAACCCAGTTTCTCACAGGAGGGTTTCCCCTTACGGCTGGATTACGTACCCTCAAATTCTTCCAGGGAGGTGAGACATGGCTCCGACCAGCTGAACCCTGCAGGCAATGGCCCGATGGGAATGATGTTACGGAGGCAGAATATAGGACAGAAATTCATTTGCCAGACTTCTCCCACGCAGAAGCAGAGCCTGGAGCAGCGCCTGTTCCTACAGGACAAGGATGAGGACCAGGACGATGACAAGAACACACAGGAAAACAGAACAGGGTTGCGGAACTGGAGGATATCTTCGTACCTCAGCGCATACCAGTCTGAACCAGATGAAGGGCTCCCGATGCCGATGGAGTCCGAGGCATATAATGATGCTCTTGGGGATCCCCTCACAAAGCACCCCACTGACCTCGTGCCAGCCTTCAAATCCCCCACATCTTTCAATAGCAAGGCACTGGGAATTGACAGTGCCAAGGAAGTTGCGGATCCTGATAGAGCAGGTGAAGAAACCTCGATAATGAAACCAGATGCCTTCAGGTCCAGGATAAATCCCTTGATCCAGAGGAGTTCCAGGCTCAGGTCCTCTCTGATTTTCAGCGCTGCCAAATTAGATCAGCCCAACACCACAATAGAAAAGGTGCAGATGATCCAGAAAGAGCAGATGTCCAGCGAGTTGACAAAGGACAATGAAACCATCAAGATGGCCGCCTCCTCCAAAGTGGCCGAGCTGCTGGAGAAGTACAAAGCCGTGGGCAAGGACACGGAGCGGGGCACAGTCACCCACACCAAAGCTGTTTCAGGTTACCTACAGGAGGAATCACAGAACACGGAGAAGAAATGTACCAAATCCGTGCAGTATAAGATTCTGGAGAGCAGGGTGCTGGACTCCAAAGACTCCTGCAGTACTTACAAAATGCACGGAGAGCTGGACAGAGCATTTGGAATGGCCTCATCCACCCCCCAGCTGGGGGATGCCTTGAGTAAGGATCCCCTGGCACATCTTGGCACTAAGGTGGACAAGCTGTCATCCCGGTTTTACCCGATTGAGAACAAACCTGCTCTCCCAGAGAAGGAGAGTCTGATATATGTAGGAGACACTCAGAAACTGGCTCTTCCGGAGAAGAAGGACAGGGTGACCTTCAGAGAAGACACTCCAAAGTTAGCCAACCCAGAAATGAAGAAACCACAAGTTAGGACAAGTACCACGTCCTCAGCTCTGGAAAGCCTGTCTAGGAGTCAAGGGTCTGACAGCTCTCTCAACAAATCCGAGGAAGACTGTTCAAAACAAGAGCAAAATCCCATGGAATTTTTAAGAAAAGGGTCACTGCGACTGAAGCAGTTTTTAAACCCGAAAGGTGAAAAGAAATTTGAGGAGGAACCTGCTTCTGAAAGTGGGAAATGCGACAAGCAGGCAGTGGTGCTCAAACGATCGTCCATAGGAGACTGCCAGGAAGCGATGGAGGAAGAAAAATCCCACAAATTCACAGCACCGCTACCCCCCAAGAGCAGCCAGACAACGCAGGGGAGGTTCCCTTCCTCCACAGCCAACATCCTGTACAGCAGCAACCTGCGTGATGACACCAAGGTGATCCTGGAGCAGATCTCTGCCAACAGCCAGAAGAACAGAGCCGAGCTGGCCAAGCAGCTGCCATCCACCAGCAACCCTGACCTTTCCAGGTCAACCACAAGCTTGGAAAGGAGAGGGGAGAAGGAGAAAAGCTGCAACATCCACAGGTCGGAGAGCTTTGGGAGCCAGAAACGGAACCTTCAGCGACAGCCGTCGGAGGACAGAGACACCCTCCTGAAAAAAATGGAGAACATGCGGAAGGAGAAGCGAGTCTACAGCAGGTTTGAGGTGTTCTGCAAGAAGGACGAGCACATGAGTCCGAGTGAAGAGGAATATGACACAGATGCCAAAGACAAGAAGATGGGAAAATTCATGCCCAAAATCTTGGGGACCTTCAAGACCAAAAAATGATCATAAAAATCCTATTTAATTCCATTTAATCACTGACTGTCACAGGGGAAGGGAGGAAGAAACTTGTTTATGATGGCTACAAACTCCACGGGCAATGCTCTTCTTGGTAAGTGAGCAGAAATGTGTCCAGCATGAGCCTCTCATGGCACAGTTTGCTCCATAAATTCAGGTGGTACCAAACAACCTTATTACACTATGTTCCAAATAAAATTATTGAATTGCCAACACGCTTAAAACACAGAAGTCTCTTTTTTAAAAAGAATTCTCTGTTCTGTTACTGTACAAAACTGTCCTGTTACAAAACTGAAAGTCTCTGTTACACCCAAGGAATATTTTCAGCTGACAAAAGAATTCCACTTTCAGAAGAAAAGAATAAAAAATAGAAAATTCTGTACTTGAGTTCAGACTAGGAAAGATAAATACACACAGACGCACACATGGAAAAAGTGTTTAAAAGTGTTGTTTCTCAGGTGCAGTTATCCTTTCTCTGTATCTCACAATGAATCAGTCACAGGAGGCATCTTTTTGAAGATTTACAGACAAAAAAAAATATTGTAACCAACTTTTTGCCCTAATCTGTGGCTCTGGTCTTGTCCAGCGGCACAGGCCCAGGTTTTGTATTTACCAGTTCCTGAGCCTGTGGGGTCTGGTTTGCTTGGGATTTGTTCTCCCATGTGTAGGGAATTTTTTGCTTTAAGGACTCAGCTAAAGGAGCGGCTAAAAAGGCCATGAAAAGGGCATTGAAGTGCTAGTGATGGTGATGGGCCTGGTTTTAGGAGGCCTTTTCAGCTTGAGGAAACTGCCTCAAGTTGAGCCAGGAGAGGTTTAGGTTGGATATTTGGAAAATTCCTTCCAAAACCCTGGAAAGGATTGTCCAGTCCTGACATAGTCTGCCCACAGCACTCGTGGAGTCTTTGAAACTTTAGCTTTTCCTGGGATGCCAGTTCCCAGGGCAGCATATCTGGATGGAACTTACATATTTGTAACAGTTAATGATTATTTTACTGTTTGCTTAAAGCCTTGGGAACTGGATGTGCAGAACGACTGTCTAATCTGGAAAAAAAAAACCAACTTAGAGCTGATTTCCATTTTAATACAAATGGTGGTAAAAATCTGCAGAATCAGAAACAGCTTTGTTGTAACATGAGGAGGTATATTAAGCAATAAAGAGAAGACAAAAGAGGAAAAAAAGGATGGAAGAAGTGGCCAAAATTGGGAAAACAAAAGTTGAAATGGATTTCTTAGACCCATTTCATATTATCACAGAATCACAGGATGGTTTGTGTGGGAAGGGACCTTAAGCCCATCTGGCCCCAACCCCTGCCATGGGCAGGGACACCTTCCACCAGCCCAGGTTGCTCCAAACCCCATCCAACCCGGTCTTGGACACTTCCAGGGATGGGTTAGCCAAAGCTTCTCTGGGAAACCCGTGCCAGGAACTCACCACCCTCTCAGGGAAGAATTTCTTCACAATATCGTTTCTAAATATCTCCTCTTTTAGTTTAAAACTGAACATTGTGACCCATCTCAGATACAGCCCATGATCTTTTATACATGTCCACAGCCATAAACGAGTTATTTTGTCTGCTCTGATTAATCATTGAGTTATTGATGGGTCCCAAAAGGAACTGCAATGATCAACAGTTGTTCTCTGTCAGCCAATACAGAGATTATTTTACTCTAGAGCAGTATGTACATATATATTCTAGCTCTGTTTGTGCAATTCATACATCATTCCACACCTTCTCAACCCCACCTGCTCCAGCCTCGTTCTGTAACAGACAAATTTGGAATTCGTGACAGTGACAGGTTACATTAGCAATTTAGAATTTTGCTGTGCTTATTGAGATGTTTAGGATTTTCTCTTGCTCAGGTGGAACACATGCTTCTGCCCAGAGCCTGAGTGACACAGCTCTGCTGGTGACGGGTAGGTGACCAGTTGCTGCAGGTGGCACAACCAGCCACTGCAGAAGAAACAATTCCCTCAGCAGCAATTAAAGCCATTGTAAGAAGACCTTCTGGTGTTCCAGCCCACCACCTCTAAGTCTGGGATGGGGGTCACAGAGGACCTTGGCTGTCATGCTGTGAGGGGCCAGGATCCAGGGGAGGTCACAGCCGGAATTGGGTGCCCTTCTCCGTGCCCCACAACTGGCACTTGGACACTCAGGAGCCAACCCGCTGACCAGAGCTCTGCCCACACCACAGGCTCACCTGGCACTGCCACTCCTACATCTTCCTGTACCTCAGATAGGCAGGAAACACTTGTGCTATGAATATATCACAATAAACCTGGACTTCCCTGTGAGCTGCTCTCCTGGCTCCCTCCTGTTACCAGACTCCAATGACCACACCTGCGACCAAGGGGAAGGCATTAATTTTTAATTAAGTAGCCGTGGGTGTTTAGGCACCAGAAGATAAAATGGCAGTTCAGCCAATGGCAGTGGTACTCACATGCTGGAATCCAGCACCTGAATCCCCTTGGTAACTGTATTCCCAATGTTCTGGAATCACAGTCATTTATCACAGGTGGAGTAAAACTTCAGGGACACAGACAAGAACTTCAAGTGAATGAGGAGAACGTATCCAAAATCCACATTAAAATAAGAATATAAAGTTTCCTGTAGTCCCACTGTAGGCTGGTAACACCTTCATGATGTCTCAGCAGTAGTGTCTCATGGAACTCTGCTTTCTGAAAGCAAAAACAAAACAAAAAAACTCATCAGTTATTCACTGAAGACAGTCTTACCAAGAGGTACTTTCCCTCTCAACACAGTGAATGCTGACTGAAGACAAAGATTTTTTGTGGTGCAATATAAACTATTTATTATTGCAATATTTACAATATCACATGGTAGGGAAGCTGATAGATATTGTAGCAGAGCCCACCTGTATTTCAAATGCTTTCCTACTTGATTTTGTCGAAAATAAACCGCAATGGTTTTATTTATTTACCCCAGAAGAGATAGAGAAATGAGTGGAAATCAGAATGAAGGTCTGTAAGATCTGTAAAGAGTTTGATCTCCACGGACTTCAGAACACAGTTAACTGCTCTGCTCAAAAGCAACCCACATGTAGGTAGAACTGCTGAAGAATCCTAGAATGGCTTGGAAGGGACCTTTTAAAGTGCATCCAGTCCCACTCCCCTGCCATGGGCAGGGACACCTTCCACTAGACCAGGTTGCTCCAAGCCCCATCCAACTTGGCCTGAAAGACTTCCAGGGATGGAGCAGCCACAGCTTCCCTGGGCAACCTGTGCCAGGACCTCACCACACTCACAGGGAAGAATTCCTTCCCAATATCCCATCTAACCCTGCCCTCTGGCAGTGGGAAGCCATTGCCCTTTTTCCCATCAATCCAGGCCCTTGTCCCAAGTCCCTTTCCAACTCTCCTGGAGTCCCTTTAGGCCCTGGAAGGGGCTCCAAGGTCTCCCTGGAGCCTTCTCTTCTCCAGGATGAACACCACCAGCTCTCCCAGAGCAGAGGGGCTCCACAGAGCATTTTCTTGGCCTTGCACTTGGCCTTGCTAAAATTCAGGAGGTTCCCCTGGGCCCTGAATATGTCTAAAACCACTCAAGTACTAGAATATTGCAGTTTTCTGTATTTTTTTGCAACAATTCAAACAAGGAGTATGAACTGACAGTGTTCACAAGAGTGGGAGCAAACATGCTGTGCCCTTGTCTGGTGAGACTGGAAGGCAGATGGGTTGGATTCCCTTTCCTGTGGGCTTGTCCAGAGGAAAGGAGGATATTGTCCCATACAGTAAATAAAGCATTTCCTCATATTTTACTCTCCCTTGTTGTCCCTGCTCAGTCAGGGGCTGAGGGATGGATGAGCTGTATTTCACCTGGCTGGAACACCTGCACATTCACTGCTCAGGGTTTTGGGAGGTCTTTGCTATCGGAAGACTCTGCAGCGCGGATTTACTGATGGTTCCATAGGCCTGGGAGTAGCTGCCCATCGACGCTCTTGGATCACCCGCAGCTCCCACATTTGCAGTGATCTGGAACATCTTTTTGCTGGGCTTCAGAAGGGGACGAACATCTTTGCTGTGACACTGAGAGTTTCTGGGATTCTATGTGAGAAAGAAAAGCCAAGATAAGTTTAATAACCTGGAATCATCTTTCTGGAATGCAAATAAGATACAGGTTTGGCTTTGGTCAGCATGACCCTCTCAGGGAACAAACGCAAAGCTCAGGGCACACGTTGGCTGATCTTCTCCCTTTTTCTGCTCTTCCTGTCACAGAAAGTTGGTCACAATTCCCTGAAGATTCTTTCAAATTCATTGGTCATGTGAACACATGCACACACACATCAAGCTCCACAATCCCATTTGGGGATTGGCTCCTCTCACTCTCAAAATCTATCCATTTTGGAGAGGATTCCAAAGCAGAGGGGCTGAAATGTGAGTTGCAAGTGGGCTCCTGGACATGCTTGGAGTTTCTGGCAACGTGGGCTAATGAAAGTTGTCCCTGCCCATGGCAGAGGGGTGGAATGAGATGAGTTTAAAGGTCCCTGCCAACCCAAACCACTCTGATTCTGTCATACTATCAATCTGTGGTGCCTACTTCCATACTTCCATACTCCCATACTCTTCCTCTGATTAGCTTGTGCAGGTGCCATGAGTCACCAGGCAACAGACAGCCAGCTCAGGAACAGAAAAAGCAGGAGCAAGAAGCAATTAAAGAACCCAGCCAGGGTTCTTTTAAAGTCTTTTACAAGGAAGCATGGCCAAGAACAGGGAAGAAGGAGGAGCAGAGAGGAGAGGACTGACACCTTGCTCAGCAACAGCAATCCATTAGAATCATGGAATCAAGTCACGGAATTGTTGGGATTGGAAAAGCCCTCTGAGCCCATCAAGTCCAGATGCTCCCCCAGCACTGCCAAAGCCACAACTAATCCATGTGCCCAGGAGCCACACCCACATGGCTGTTAAACCCCTCCAGAGATGAGAACACCACTGCCTTGGGCAACCTGTGCCAGGCCTGGACAGCCCTTTCCATGAAGAAATGTTCCCAATATCCAACCTGAACCTCCCCTGGCACAACTTGAGGCCATTTCCTCTTGTCCTGTCCCTTGTTCTCTGGGAGCAGAGCGTGACCCTCATCTGGTTCCCCTCTCCTGTCAGGGGGTTGGAGAGAGTGAGAAGGTCCCCCTGAGCCGCCTTCTCTCCAGGCTGAGCCCACCCCACTCCCTCAGCCACTCCTGGTGCTCCAGGCCCTTTCCCAG